ATAGAATAGAATAGAATAGAATATACTTTTATTATTTGTATGCCACCCTTCTCCGGGAGGACTCAGGGCGGCAAACAATTCAAGGGAAAAAAGGGAAACATAAAAAACAAAATACAAATAATAAAAGTAAACAACAGTCGCACAACCATGCATGTCGAGAGGGGAGGGAACTCATCACCCCCAGGCCTGCCGGGATATGTCCAGGATATGAGGGGTCTGTAGATATTTTCACAGCCCTCTTTCTAAGAAAAGCACTTTTTTTTAAATTATAGGAATGTGACTTTGAAAATTTTCTTTTTCATCATGTCATGCATTTTTTGGGGGATGTGTGATTCATCAATTTTAGGTTTTGACAGAATCTCTGCTTCTTATTAAATATAAGCTAACATCAAAAAGGAGTTCACTTTTTCTGCATTATTTTTTTCAGCATCAGGAAGTGTAGTGAATACATGATTAACAAATTCAGTCTACTGTGAATAAAATAGGAAACAGCAATATATTTAATAAGAATCTTAATAGTTCATTTGTCAACTTACATGTTAAGCAGTTTTGTTCCATGCTGTCTCAACAAATTATTGATGTTCTAAAAAAGGCAAGGAAACATCTTCTGAATATATTTCTACTGAATCACTGATATTATAAAAAGTTACTTTAATTATTTACTATCTTGATAAGTAACTTTTATTTTGTCTTCAAAAACACATATATTTTTTTCCTTCTAATGGTCAATCTTAGTTAAAGTGAAATCAAAACTGACAATGTTCTCATTTTTTAAAGCTTCAACTCCTTGGGTTTTCTAGAAGAGAAGAATCAAAAGGAAGACTCAAATTGTTGTTTGCATTCATTCCCATCTCCTTCAGTACGTCCCTCAACTTCATATAAAAGTTTAAAGAGGAAGAAAAGAGATGAATGAAAATGAAGAAAAAGAAGAGTAAAAGAAGAGCAAAGGGGGCAACGAAAGAGTAAAATGGAAGAGGTGGTGGTAGAGGAAGAGAAGGAGGAAGGAGGACATATACAGGAAATTAAAAAAAAAAAATTCTACACCTGCCTGTATGAGATATTCATACACATAGCAAAGTTAACCTGAAAACTCAAGGACATGTTTTATTCCTCTAAACACAATGACAAAGCAGACCTTAAGAAAGAGTAAATGTTCAAAGTTCAAAAGGATGCAGTGTGGGAGGACATACACTTAGGCATGTGGAAAATTCTTCCACAAGCGCTCAACCACATTTGTCCTTGAATTGTCATTTGTTGTACAAAATACATTTCCCCCTTTGTTTCCTTAATAAAGACAGCCAACAATAGCAATAAAAAAAAGGAAAGAACATGCAGAGATTGACTCTCAATAATATTTTACCTGATATTGTGGGAGAAGAAATATGAGATACATTTCATCAGCTTACTCCAGGAAGAGTACAATATTTGTAACAATTGCTCAGTATTAGCAATGGTGAGAGCTGAAGCATGTTAAGTTGTTATTAGCCGTGTTTTTATTGCTAGCTGTCAAAAGCCCATCTTGATCAGTGTTGTGATGGCCAGGAGCTGCAATTAAAATATTTAGGTATCAACAAGGGCCGTGTCCTTGTACAAAATACATTTCCCCCTTTGTTTTCTTAATAAAGACGTTCAACAATAGCATTACAAGTCTACATCCTTGTAGATAGGATGATGGTGCATTGCTGGGTTTTCTTAGAGTGATGGGCAATCAGAGTTCTCTGTTTTCTTCCTACTTTGGGAAAAAAGGTTTGTTTGGGCATCTTGCATCAAGCGATTTGTAGGAGTAAAAAAAAGGTTTAGTAGCTGAAGACGATTCAGGAGTCCTGGATCCCACAGTCCTGCCAAAATACTCTATACACAGGTCATTACAGCAATGATTAACAACGTCAAAATGGGAGTCATGAATGGGAGAGCAAATCTGGCATACTTTTAAAAGGAACATATATCTATATATCTATATCTGTCAGCCTCTGTTTTGCTTCTTGCTTTTCGGCTGCCATTGAAACGGGGAGGGAGGGCATGGTATTTGAGTGAGGGAAATATTCTGTACAGGAGGACCGTTAATTGGGAGTTGTTCTCACCATTCGTTTGTGCATGTGGAAGGAGGGGAGTTTCCCACCAAGGCCAACTGTCCGGCATGCCCTCCTGATNGGTGGGTTTCAAACAATTTCGGAACCTCTTCTGTAGGGGTGGCCTGCTTTCCAGGTCCACTGGTGGAAACTCTCCTAACTGGTTTGGTAGATTTGACGAACCGGTTCTACCGAATAGGTGCGAACTGGTAGGAACCCACCTCTGCCACATAGTCATAATATGTGATATCTTTTTTTATTTTTAAGGAGGTCTCACTATCGTATATCATTTACTGCCTTCAAACTGGCACAGTAATGAGTAAAGAAAGTTCAGATGTTCAGTACTTTGAATCACACTTTATAATGCTGGCTTTGTTTGCTTTTAAAATTGGCTTTCATCACGTAAGAGCATGTGGGAGCTCACCATGATTTTTTTTTTAGGTTTAAATGCAAACAAGCCTTCCCCAATTATAAATCAGAGAGTTTAATTTCACAGAGCAGCTACACACCAAGAAGCCAGTTCCTACCCAAAGGAATGTTGATAAGATAAAAGAATTACAGAAAAAACTAAAGGTCAGTTCCACTGTGGTTACTCTTTTTAACATTGAAAGGACTTACCGTGTAAAACAATCAAACGTGGGAAGGCGGGGGATGAAGAATAAGAATTTCAAGGCTGTATTTTTAATTAAGCCAAGAATCAGAGGCATTTACAAGAGCTCACTTTCAGGCCAGAGGCAACATAAATTAAAGAAATGCACAAATAATTCCTTGATCTAATCGGACACTTTCAAGATATAAATATATATATTTTTAGACAGATTTGTTGAACATCTGCTCTGATGCACAACCCTCATATGTGAATGCATGCTTTTGTTTGTTGACTAGATATATCGGGACAAACTATTTTCATAGCATTGTGTTCAGTCGGAGAAGCAGCTGGCATGGCACTTTATCAATGCGCTGCTAAGAGATCTGTAATTTTAAAGACAGAGAATGGAAGTTGTTGTTGATTCTGCTGGCTCAAATTTCAGTAAAGTTAATAAGACATGCCACTAAAATAGGACTAACACATCTAGCAGTTCAAATATGCAGCAACTTAATAGATTGATCTCTTTGCAACCATCTGCGGATACTTTGCAGTTCAGGTATAGCAAGTCTTCAAAATAAGTTCAATTTCTGATTATTTCACACNTTGTCGGCGCACTTATGACGTTCGCGCTTTTGTCAGGTCACGCTTAATGTCTGTAGTGATAGAATCCTATCCTAAGTGTAAGTTGACTCCACCTTAATCAATATTTGCAAAAGTACAATGCAATATGTGTCAAACTATACAAATTCCAATTGCTAAAACTTGTGTTTTAGCAAGGCCCATGGGTCATTAAACTTGTGTGTTAGAGACCCCCAGGTCACCACTAATGGTTTGCCCAAACCTGTCGAAACCGGCTGAATACTACCACTGAAACAGATCATCCTGAAGAAGATTTATCTGTTGCGTCGTCAAGAATCAATCCCAGCTTCAAGGGAAATAACCAAGTGTAAAAATGTTATTTGTAGACGTAGATAAATGGACGGGCGCAATGGGATGAAATTGACTTGTTACAAAAAAAAATAAGCACCGAAGAATGGATTTTTGTTCAAGTTCTTTTGTCTGAGTAGATGCACTCAGTGGGAATTCCTGGAGGATTTTCAGTTCAGACGGTTTCTGTTTTCTTTAGAGATAATGTTGCATTCAAGAGCGCACAGGATAGGATTCCCTCCGTAAACGTTCAAATGATGATGTGCCATTCTCTACCCAGAGGACAGATACTGAAATAAAAAGTATTGACCAGCAGAAGCCCAAATGATTATTTCCCCCCCCCTCATTGATTGATGAAATAGAGAGCCAATTAGATTTGATGATTTAGAAAAGGTGAAGAAATGAAGAACGAATAGAAAAAAATATAGAAACTCCAACTCGAAGAGTACGATAATTTAACATTAAAAGGGTTTTCCTGGAAACTCCAGAACTGAAATAAGACAGAGAAATGGTTGAGATATTCAGAGAGGAATGTTATTGTTTCCTAGTCAGAAGCCAACAGTCTCACAATTATTATAATTATTATTATTATAAATACATATCCAATTCCTACCTATTGTACAATTGTATTGTATGAATACCATATTTTCCAGTTCTTAACTTGTCCGTGTTTTTCTGCCCCGACCTTTTCCCCCTCAGATGCAACATGTCTTGAAGTCAGGTTTAAATTTTAAAAAAATGTGAAAAGGAGAGGTTCATATATACTTGGAAACCACTTCTGGACTTTGTGCTTGAGGTGAGACTTTGAAATGAAACTTTGAGGTGTTTCGTTTGAAATGAAGCTTTGATTAGGGGTTTTACCGATGAGACAGGTTTGTTGTTATAGAAATAGGTAGTTTATACTCCTATGTAAAAGTAAGAACTTGAAGTTGGATGTTNCTGGTCTAGAATATAACCCCTATTGTTTATTTTATGATTTAAGGTAGTTTTTGCAAGTAAAAAAGAAATGTCTTTGATTGAAAAGAAAACTCAGTTTCCTCAACTTCAAAAGGAAGCATGAATACCATGCTAATGTCACCTTTATTAAATTTTAATTTTTAATAATGCTTTACATTTTAATATGCTTTAATAAAGCATTTATTAATAATGAAGCATAACATTCCAGGTAACAAAGATACCTTGCAAATATTATTAAGAAAATTATAAAACATAGCAACATGTAGGGAAGTTTCCTGAACAATTCTTAAGATTTTTATATATTTTTCATAAGTATGACTAATATATTAGAACTATTTAAAATTAATATTTTATATTTATGTTTGCAGGGAGTATGCTGGAGGTAAAACCATGAAGAAGTAGTGGAAAGAAGAATAATGTTTTTCCGAAATCGTTTTCTGTTTCTGTTGGCTTTAGCTGCCTTATTAGCCTTTTTGAGCCTTAGCCTCCAATTCTGTAAGTATAATTTTATATCATAGCTAAGATCTGTAAATACCATGTTCTTTTTATTGAATTTTAATGTATGTGTAGGAAGTAAAATCAAAATGTCAGAATGATTGTGTGTACAACATGAGGACTCGTTTTCTGCTTTTTAAATGACACAGATGACATAATTTTGAACATATTTCAAAGAAACTGATATTTATTATGACTGTGCGGGCTGAAAATGATTGATCTGTTTGATGTGTAATGACAAATTAGGAAAGATAATTCTTTCCCCCCTTACTTTCTGCAAAATATTTTGTTTATTTCATATGAATAGATTTGAAAAACATGCAAATTAACTGTTAGTTTTATCCTATTAAAATTTTTGAATAATTATAACATGAGCATCAGACTAATTCTCAAACACATGAACATAATTTTAAAAAAGGAAAGAGATTAGCATAATTAGATTTGCAAGGTTCTGTTACAAAATCCAATTGTAATAAATATTTTAATCTTGATGTACAGTTGATTTCTTGGTCTAATCTATCTCTTAAGGCTGACGTTGTTTCATGTTTTACCTATTCCTTTTCTCTCACTAATGTGAATGTGTTTGTATAGCTGTGTCTATCTGCAGTGTTTGCACATAACCTAATTCCTTTTTCATTGTTTGAGCTTTAAGCAGTGTTTTTCTC